AATCTCATCTTGTAATCCCTGAATCCATCGAAAAATTAAAGATTAAAAAAATAAAAAAAATAAGCATCCTTGATATAACTGAAGATGATGATGATGAAATGCAAAAGATACCTTGAAGTTCCTGGTGATCCAAACTCGCTGGGCAAATGGACACGTGTAGCATGTATACAATCTTAAACACAGCACAACAGCTAATTTTAGAAACAAGATTCTTACGATGTACTATCAATCAAACACAACGCGAAAGGGAAAGAAAGAAATAAAGAAAACAAACTTGGTAGTTCCATCAAAGAGTGGAGGTTGCTCTGCAGTAGCATCCAATGGTGGGGGCAATTTCTCTGGTACGCTCTTATCCAAACTTCCCATTTGGAAAACAAACGGAAAATTAGGGAACTCACTAAAACAGCAAGCAGCAAGTTGCAGAATATAGAGAAAGCAGGAGGAGATTCTTACGCAGAAGCAGTCGCCATGGATTGGGATTAGTGCAAGCGGTCAGACTCGTTTGTTTGGTTGGTGAGTAATATGCGTGATCTGGTGAGCAAGACTGAAGGCTTGAGAGGGCTTTTATAGGTACAAAAGAGCAGCGATTTGGGAGTAAATTGCGTCCAAATGCAGAGCGGGCTGGGCGAGTCTGCATTGCAGTCAAAAGTTTGGATTTTTTAATACTTTAGGAATGGGTTTAGGAATGTGTTTGTCTTGGAAATAGGTCTTCGGCTGTGATTTGATACATACATATATATACATATACACACACACACACACACACACATATATTGCAGTAAAAAGTTTGGATTTTTTAATACTTTAGGAATGGGTTTAGGAATGTGTTTAGTAGGTCTTCGGCTGTGATTTGATTTGATATATATATATGTGTGTGTGTTAAATTATAGTTAGTTGTATTTAAATATATATTTAACAAAAATTATGGTTAAAGTTTATGTGGAGTAAAATATACATGTATAATATTTGGTATTTTTATGAAACTCAATTAAAAAAATATATAAAAAATATTACACAAAAACAAAAGTTTCTAACTCAAATTTTTAGCAAGTTTCCAAGCATAAAATGCAATTTAATTTATTATTAAATATTTTATTGTATTTCTTTCACTACAAATATAAAAATTAGTAAAAAATAGATACAGTGCTTGAAAACATTGTAAGAAAAAAACTAATTTATTTTTTAAATTTTTTTAATTAGATGATAGAAAAAAAATTAAAAATTAAAAATATTATTTTAATATATTTTTAAATAAAAAATACTTAAAAAAACAAAACAAAATACCACCTACATTAAAAGTGATCTTTGCAATGACGTAATTACATTTAACTCTTCCAGGATCTTCGTTGGGTGCAGTTTCGGAGGCCAGGTTAGGACGAAGGGTTACTTTGATTTATCTTCGTAGGTTTTTGAGATTATTTAGAAAAGAATTTCGTTTTGTTTAACGAATAAACTAATCCACGGATATAGCCAATGTTGAATAAGAAAAATAGTATACGAAGGAGGACAAAAGAAACCAAAAGGTTGGAGGGAGATTCGTTCATTTCCTTCACTTTTAAAATTTACACCTTGAAACAACACTCAAGAAAATTTATTAAATTCCTTTAATTACACTAGACTGCAATTTTAAAATAGTTCGAAGATGAATTTCATTTCATTTGATGTTAAAAAAAATAGATTTAAATATAAATAAAAAAAAATAAAAAAATACGTGTAAACAATTCCATAAAATAATTAAAATATGCTATAACGGCTTGGCTTTTCACTGCAGCAATGAACAATAAAAATCTAAGTATTTTTTCATTTTAATACTTGAGATTTTTTATGAATTTTTTAATTTTGAATTTTTTTCTTTAATTTTATCATTCAAGTTCAACAATGGATTTACTAGGTATGAAGTTTTATAATTTATTTCAATTTATATTTTATAGAGTTATCCTAAATTTATGGCCTGAGTTGCAAGTTTTATAATTTATTTCAATTTGTATTTTATAGAGTTATCTTAAATTTATGGCCTGGGTTGCAAGTTTTATAATTTATTTCAATTTGTATTTTATAAAGTTATCCTAAATTTATGGCTTGGGTTGCAAGTTTTCAAATTAACCATGTTGACTTGAGTTATTTTTTGTTTATTTTTTATTTTTTATTTTTTAATTTTATCTTTCAGCATTGAATTGATTGAAAATCAGACTTTATAATTTTTTTAAAATAAAATAAGAAATAAAAAAATACAAGTTTTTGGTTTCACTTTCTCTACAAAAATATACTATAGGATCAATGAGTGGATTTAAGATTTCTCTATCAACATCTTAACCTAGAAAGAGTAATCTTCCTTGATCAAGTTGGTTGATTATAATCAAATTATATCTCTTAAAAATTGTACATGCATCTTTTGATGCATATGATTTATAAAATATCACAAAAAAAATAATCAATATGTAGATCTCATTTAACTAATAACGAAGGGTTTTTTTCTTTATTTTTTAAAAAAGATGGTTTTTTTACCCATTTGCCTATAAATTTAAAAAACTCATTAAACTTATCAAACTAACTTCTCATTTATGTATTCCTTTATCATGATCCAATTCAAATCATAATAACATTCTCTTGTTTCTTAGTAGGTTTTTTGAATTCTTTTACGTTTTTTTCTCTACTCCGAGTAAAGATCTGCTTATTTTGATTTGTACATATAAGGAAAATGCTTCAATATCGTGTCTTTTTTCTATAACTTTCTTTTTTTTCAATTCATTTCACTCTTTTAGTAGAATATTTGATGTATTTATCAAATTATTTGATTGATTATAATTAGTAGTTTGAAATTACTCCAATTTCTAATTTATAAATAGAATATGATACAAATAGTGATCATGGATATGATATTAATTGGGTTTTTCTAAGCGGAGTCTGAATACTTTATTTTTATAGTTTAAACAAGCTAACCATAAATTATTCTAGTTGATAATATTAATTTGAATACCTCCAAAGCATATATCTAATTGCACTTTATAGCTATTTCACGCTCTAATTTTTAGATGATTTACTCAAAAAAAATTTGGTGAAACAAAGGATATCTTAATCGGGGTAGAGAACGGGTAAATCTCATAATAACTCAATATCTTTGACAAGTTGTGCTATGTGTCAATATAATTTGAATTATCCTATTTGGGATTTTGAAAACAAACTTTTAAAACACCAATAGACATTAAATGAAATCAAAAAAATAAAGTACTCTAGGTCACTTTGGTGTAAAAGCATAACAATAAATATATTGTCTTAATAATATTATATCAATTTATTCTTTTAATAATATTATATTGGATAATGGCGTTTGTTTTGTTATTTTCATGTTTTATTTTATTTGTTATCTGTACATATTCAATAAGTTCACAACAAAGAAAAAAAAAAGACAAAATGAATGAAACAAGCTTCTTATTAATAGGCTATATGAATGATGAAATCTTTCAAAAAACAAGGTATATTTTGAATAAACCAATTCATTTAAGACCATGTAGACCAGCTTTTTTTTAATTCAAAGATCAACTTCTTATTTATATTTATATGTTTGTATATCAAGAATTCTTTACAAATGAAAAGATGTTAAAGAGGATTCTTACTTTCCAAACAGATCATCCTACATCTATATATAAACATTGATTTATCGAGGACATACAAGACAAGCACTTTAAATTATTGATTTATCATGAGAGATGGCTTAGAACCAAAAGTTCATTATCTAATGAATTTTTATGTTATAATACTCTAATGAGAATGATCAATATTTATCAATTTTGTTCATATCTAACAGAAGGCTATTAGATTAAATGCCAAGATATTGTTGAGAAAAAATAATTTTTCTAGATAAAATAATTCATATAATAAAAGAAAGGTTTCTCATTCCTTACCCTGAAGCTATGAAATAAAAATTAAATGGAACATAATTGATTGGATATTCCAGTTAGATATTCAATTTTTTCGATTTGAATTATCCAAAAAATACCTTATCCTATATTTTATCAAGAAAATAGACAATCAAGTCTGTTTTATTCAATAGAAGCTAAAATGAATGAATATAATAGTATAATAGGTAATAAGGTCTCAAATAAGAATATATATATATATATATATATATAGAGAGAGAGAGAGAGCAAATACAAATAAGAAAATGAGGAGTTTTTTTTGTTAATTTTGATTGAAATGCAATATATGAAAATGTTTAACATGATATTTCAATCGTTATAGATTTTCATAGAAATGTTAATAATTTGTTTTCAATTATTATGTATCTAATATGAAAAAAAAATATCATAAATATTCAATTATATTTAATTTTTTATTATTAAAATTTCTTTAATGAATTCTTAACAAGATTTCATCACATTTATTATTATTTTTTCTTCAATCATATAAAAAATATTGAGACTTGGACAATTTTTATTGTAAAAGAAATTATATGAATCATGAAAAACAATTTTAATAAGAAAAATACATTTTTCTCTTATAATTTTATGCATTGTCATTGTCTACTTTTATAACTGTTTAATAATTAAAAAAGGATTTCAAAAGACAAGGTCATGAACCCAACCAAGAACATGACATAGGATGGATTAACTTAATTTGACCTTTATCAATCTAAAACATTGATTTATTTTTTATATAAAAGCAGGTAAACTAGCATTGTTTTATTTTTATTTTTTTTCTTTAAAAGCTAAGCCCATGTTTTTTTCAGGTTATTCGATTTGCGGATGCACCCACTAGATTGGCGACGTCATATGGAATCTACTTTACCAGCTCATCATGTCAACCCACCATGTCACATTAAGCAGCTGACTGGTGACTTCAAGTTCTACTCTATTTGAAACCAATTTTGGCTTTGCTTAGTTCTTGTCTCCCATTTAATTTGATATGAAAAAAAAAAATACTGTAAATTTACTATATTGCCTTAAGCGATGAGACCCAAGAAGAGAATCTCCCCCGTTCCTTCCGCCACACTTCCCCTCACTTTCCATGACTTTCATCTACGATAGATCTCTTAAATTCTGGATTTCAAGCTCGTGGCTTGATGCATGGTGGTGGTATCATGTAAGTGATGTGGTTTCAAGTCTGTGTAAAAAGTCGAAAGTTGTAATAATTGATGGGTTTTGAAACGGGAAGGTAACGATAAGAACTGGAAGGAGCTAGGAATTGCTGGGGGTGGGTATACAAAGTTATTTATACGGAAACCCATTGGTGATTCTGCTAAGAACTTTTCTTAAAGGAAAATGAAGAGAGAATTGAGAAGAAAAGATGGAGAGAAACGCAGCATCGTCAAGCTGGGATTCTTCCGTACCTTCTTAATTTTATTTGACAATAAACAAGGCTTGATACGCGTAGGGAGACAAGCCAGATGGGTCGTCACTTCAATCCATATCTCTTTCTGTAGGTAATAAATAATAATTATGGAAAAAGCTAAGCTCATACAAATGCCTCCTTATTTCCCTCGCCCTTTTCCCCCCGTTAATCCATGAAGACTTTCTGTCGCATAGGCTGCTTGTTTTGTATCTGGATTTACCGGCATTTTTTTTTAATGGCGATAAAAGATACAATTTCTTATCCAACATTGACTTGTGTCTATTGAAATAGTTGGCTGAGAATAACCCCGAGGTCAAAACCTTTCTCGAGGACATGGAGCACAACCTTGAGAAGGCTCATGTCACTCTTGCCCACAAGCGAAGTCAGGGTGTTACGGCTGTAGCTGGCAACGAGCTTTTCCTTCATCAAAAGGTCCCTGTGGAATTGACTGCCCTCCTTTTCACTGATGAAATGGCAGCTCTGGAAGCAGAAATCGGTTCTGTTGATAGCGAAAAAGCTGTACCGAAAAATTAGTGGCCCCATGTTACCACATGGACAGGAGAAAAAAGGTAGCCAAGAGGGTCGTGTCCAAGTGGTTGTTGAAGCAGCTTTCCTTTTTTCGAATTTAAGTTTGAGTATCAGTGGGAATAGGACTAAAGGTTTGTTCCCTTTTTATCTTTACTGGATTCTTTCTATCTTGTACACTTATCATCCTCGTGGTACTTTACTTATTCAGTAAGATTAATCATGATACGTACAAGCTAGTCCGAACACCTACATTAATAAAAAAAAAAAAAAAAAGCCAAAGATTGCCTCAATTGCTTCTGGAGGGAAAAGCAACGCGATTTGAAATCAATCCACCCATCACCATATCCGGCACACTGGGATTGTATCGAGTTCTTTGATCGTTCTTCCTAAAATATACATGTCGAGGAATGGTTTCGGTTGGATTTTATGTAAAAGTTGTCTGAAAAATTCTGTAGGTGATAGGGCATTAGACTACGATGGTTTCGCCCAAGAAACAGGTGGAAATTGAGTTCTGCTCCTGAAAATTTGTATACACGCAGGCTAAGCAGAATAACAAAGCAAATAGAATTTATTACTTACATGTCGTGTCAATTCTCTCGACTTCTTTATGCTTTGCATAGGCATTTTCTGGACCATCATCATTAATGTTGTTATTATGTTCTCTATTTCTTGGCCCAGTCTCAGCAAAACCAGCTAATCAGTATTTCCAAGAGCAAAATGATGCATGTAGCGGCTAAGGCAAGTCCATGAACGGAGTAGCTAAGAAAACGCTTACTGACAAACAATTCATTTTATTGCAGCTCTTCTTTGCCTCAGGCGAATATGACTCTCTACACTTCCGGTTAAAGCGAGTCAAAGATGGTAATGCAAGGAGCGAGCTCTGAACTCTATGAGAGAGCCTTGAATGAAACATGTACTAATGCTTTATAACCTAAAATAGGAGCACTCCAAGAAACCTACAAGTTTATGCCGGAGCACGCTAGTAAAAGAATTCGAAGAAAGCCAGTTTTTTTTTTTTTAAAAAAAAAAAAACAATCTTCACCAATTCCACCACCAAGTCAAATGCAAGTCCATAGACTAGCCATCTCCCTCTCTCATGCGCCGACAAAGATATGGGACAGGACGGCGAGGGAAAGAACTATCCTTGAAAACAGCTAAAAGAGTCATCAAATCCATTGGCCTGTCTACCAAGAGGTCCAAGACTCGTAAATTAGAAAGTAATCAAAGCAAAGCACCTTCAAAATTTTTAGTCTGACAACATCCATCTGCGCCCTTTGCTGAAGGTTCATCAGTCCACAACATTCGCCTTCTCCGCAGCTAGATTTGGTAAAATCGCCACAGCCTCTCCATCAATAACGAGAAGCTTATCGTTCTTGAAGCACTTTGTCGAGAATTTGACTCTGATCATTTAACAACCAGAAACCGAGTCAAGCGCTGCTATCATTACTTCAGGACAAAAACAGAAAGCGTAATGTCGCTTACATGTATCTACTCTTGTTTTCTCTTATATTAGTAGCTTGTACCTCTCCAACAACTGCATCTCCAATATATACAGGGCATTTATAATGTAGGCTTTGAGAAACATATACGGCTCCAGGCTACAAAAGTTTGGCAATCTCAACATCAACTGTCAATTGAAGAATGAAAAGCCAATAACTTGAATCTTAATAAAGAGGGTAGGAGTCATGACTTACAAAGTGAGATGCAATAATCCGAGGAAATAGAGCAGCAACCAGCATTCCATGGACAACCCGATCCTCAAATCCAGCATTCCGGGCAAATTCAGAATCGAAATGCAATGGATTGGAATCATGACTCGCCTTTGAATATTCAGTAACGTCCTCGTTTGTGAATATCCTCGTTTGTCTTAAAGTATCTCCGGTTTTCAGAACCTGCCGTGGAGGCGGGGCTGTCCCTGAAAAGTTTCTCGTACAAGGGACTGAACTCGAAACCAAACTTCTGATAAGCATCCTGTTTCTACTAAGCATTTTAGCAAACACTTGGAGTACGTACCAGCAATTGCTTTATTATCAGTAAAAAGGGAAACGGGTTCGATGAAAAGAACTTGCTAATCAGCAACAAGCATTTTAACAAACATTTGAAGTGCATTCCATCAAGCATAAGAGTAGTTCTAAGGTGGGGTGAATTTCAATTTGTGGTGGTTTTTCAACACGTTTTGTTGACGGTTTCTAGTAGCACTCTATGGCTTGTGATTCCAATACAATGCCATTTTATTCAGCTGTGTGGAGTTGAGGCGGAAAGGCTAGTCACGTGCCGGCGCTCCACGCTAAAAAAAAATGCAATCACCGGCGACTTCTCACGGTCTCACCTATGAAAAAAATTCTTATTGCGTGACAAAAAATATATATATACTGCTTTAACGCTAACCACATCATTGATATAAAGGACATACGTTGTGTGGGAAGAGCTTTAAAAAATTTTTATTTGATAATATAACAATAAAATTGCTTTTTTATAAAGAAAATAATAATTTCAACTCTATTTAAAAATATAATTTTCTTACATAATTTCTGCCTTCTTAATCCATTTATTATTTTTCTTTTAAAAAAACATATTTTTCCTTGGTTTTTAATCTGATAAGAATAAAAAATAATGAGAATAAAAAAACAATAAGAATCAATAAGATATTTGATTGCTTTTTTTAAAATTTTTACTAAATGATTTGAGATTTGAGATAAAAATAATAAAAAATTTTAAATAAGAATATAAAAAAGGCAAGAATCCCATTCAAAAATAAAAGCTAGTTTGATTGATATCCAACAAAATAATATATCAACTCTAAATTTTAAGTGAAAAATAATTATGATTGTGAAAGCAATCTTAAATCTAAAAAAGAAAATCAAATAAAAAATAAAAACAATATTATGAAAACTAATGATAATTAAAAAGCTAATGGTAATAAAAGCATGGTTTATTGGATAAAAGCTAATGGTAATTAAAAAAATATTAGGAAAGATTCTAATTACTTGAATTAAAAAGAAATAAATAAATCTTCTTAATCAGAAAACTCCCTATTTTATTTTTAGTTTGATAAAAATGTCTTTTTATTATAAATATTGTTTTTTATATAAAAACTTATTATGATCGCGAAAGCAAATTTCAATTAAAAAAAGTCATGAATCAATTATTTTTATGCATTTATAATAATAAATAGATGAATAACATAGCTGAAAAATTATTTAAAAGATTTATAAAAAAATATTTTATTTTTATATAATATCGATGAGAAAATTTATAATTATCCTAATATAAATAATTCTTTTTTAAATTATGCATATTAGGCTAATATATAATTAATTATAAAATAATTATTAGTATTACCATAAAAGTTTAAATCTTCTTGAAAACTATGATGTTATGTTATTTTAATAAATTTATTTTTAAAAAAACTTATTTTAATTTTTTTAAGGTTAAGGGATATTTAATAAAAAGTTGGGTACATATGGACTTAGGAGGGCAAGTCCATATACCTAGCCCAAAAGAAAACCCCGGAGATCAGAATGTCACCATCCGAATTATTACAAGAAAAGATGTTCGAACAAAATAAGATTTATAACCCCATGAATAATTAGAGAAGTGTCTGAATTAAGCTTATTCGGTTGCCATAGCTTAACTTGAGCTTGCTTCTTGTGAGGAAAGGAAATACAGAAAGGGGTCTGGTTGCTGCATACATGTAAGCATGGCTAAGTCGTTTCTCCATGCACTAGTCAACGTCGAGTTCTGGTATTTTGTGTCTTGTTTCCCGAAAGAGAGAATCTTGGAGGATGCCTGGGAACACGTGGAGAAGGGTTTTTCTGTCACCAAAACTCCTCTTTTTTTCTTTTTTTCTTTTTCCTTATTTGGAGGTCTATCATGCTATAGCTACGCTGTGGTCAGCGGTTCATTTTTCGGTTTCACAATTATTGACTTTTTTTCAATCAATCCAACGGACGCCCCGCCCTAGACAACATTTTCTCAGAAGCCCATATCAAAGCTAACAATATTCTCAAACAGATGCCTCCATAAGTCTAGCTTGGCCTGGCATTCACGCCATCTTTGATGAGTTGATCCCAGGGAAATTCGAACTTCGTTTAATGTGGAGAGCTTGCGTGTCCTGGACCCATGAGTCCATGACCATGTATAAACAAGGCATAAATATCTAAACAACGGGAAAAACTTCTAGTGCATATCCAGGCCAGCAGCCCGCACGGTTCATAAACTTACAGCTAGTGTCAATGCACAAGCACGGCGAATATTTTGATCAGTCATTTCCTCCCCAAAGAACCCTTTATTTTGATTAGTTCGCCTTCGTTACTTGTCTGAAAGTGTCCGTGATTTTAAAAGCAGCATAATTAATTGCACAAGTAAGCAGGGGAAAACGAGAGAGGGGTGTCCATGTCGATGATACCCTAATGGAAGCAGGCAACTTTCCTTTATACCTTGTAACTGTTGTTGTTATGACCTTTTAGTGTGTGTTTAGTAATACAATATAGGTGTTTTTCACTTGAAAATGCATCAAATTGATGCTTTTTAGGTGTTTTTTATTGGTTTTGACATCTTCATATCAAAACCATCTAAAATCACTTTAAAAATCATCATTTTGATGCTTTTATTGTCTAGACACGCTTTGGAAAGCAATGAAGCTTGTATTACTAAACAGGTCCTTAAATGCACTTAAAATCATGTAATATGGCATGCATTCCCAATACTAAAATAGCAAGAGAATACAGTTACTTCCAGTGGCGTGAGATCTTGATCAATGTCAGAGGGCATAACCTACGCAAACAGGTAATATGAAGAGGGGTGGTAAAAGCATTCAATGAAGCTGTATTACTAA